AAATAAAATTGTTGAAGTTTGCTTATTTATGGATATACTTTGATCAAATTTGGAAAATTTATTTATTTCATACTAAGCTTATGATATTTAACATAAATACACGCTTTATTACTCTTCCCATAGCAGTCAACCTAGTACTCGTTAAATTTAAATTACCGTATTTAAATAGGGAATCTATCTTACATTTTTAGGAAGTATTTTAGTAATGATCCAGTCAGGCAAATGGAAATTAATTTTTTGACCTATAAACAATAGTTTTCCCTTATTAGTATTAAATTTTAAAGCCCACTCAATATATTTTCACTACTATGTAACTACTTATATGGTAGCCCTACTTATTACTCCCGGTATAATTATTTTCTCGGTGAATATTAGGAAATTCAACCTTAAAATCCGGACTAAATGCGGCTGAGGCACAGCCGAAATTTGTGGGGACTTTTGCCATTTTCATAAACTAGGCTTACTGTGCTTAACTGTGCAAAATTTCAATTTAGTCCGGATTTTAAGGTTCAAATTCCTAAAATTTACCGACAAAAAATTATACCGGGAGTAAATATGTACTAATAAGTTTTGAGTAGTTACATAGTAGTGCCAAGATAGTAAGTGGGCTTTAAATCATAATACTAATAAGAAAAAATTATTGTTAATATGATTAAGAAATGAATATCCATTTGATTGACTGGATATTTACTACCTCAAAATGTAAGATATATTCCCTATTTAAATAACTTTAAATTTAATAAGTACTAGGTTTACTGCCATGGGGGGGGGGGGTACTAAAGTGAGTATTTATGTTAAATATTAATAGCTTAGTATAAAATAAATAAATTTGCCAAGTTTGATCAAAATATATCCATAAATAAGCAAACTGTAACAATTTTATTTTCCTCCATAAGAATAGCATGGGAATTTTAAATTTAATACTAACTTTTATTATTTATCTCAATAACCGTTAGAGATAGAGCAAACCTTCAAATATAAAAAAGATGTATTTTTAGACGTTCTTTAACTTATGTATTTACGAAAATTCTTTAATACCAATCGTTTGTGAAATATTGCCAAAAAAGTGAAAATGGGCCACCATTTTCCAAGATGGCGGCTGAAGCACAGCCGGGATTTATAGGGTCTTTTGATATTTTATTTATTTAGGCTTACTTAACAACTGTGCAAAGTTTCCACTTAGTCCGAATTTGTTAGGTCGATTTTCCTAATATTCTTCCACTATTTATTGTGCAGTTTAACACGCACTGAAAGCTAAAAACACAGCAAAACTAGGTAAGTTTATGACCATTGCTTTTTACATTTGTATTGTGAAAAAAACTGATTATTTCAACAATAAAATATCGTATAATAACACTAGCACACTTGATGGACAAAGGGAGAACTTATTGAGGACAAGAGAAAAATTTAGAGCAAGTGAAAATGAGCTGATCGTTTACCCCTGATCTTTTACAGATTGGGAAACAAAATTTATTTCTTAGATATCAGCTGTTATCAAAGATTACTTTGATCTACTACTAACTTTGGAAATTGTAAGAGCTTCCAAGTGAATAAACACTTTTTAATAAGTTTTGTAGTATATTATTATAAAGATATACAAATTCGACATTTAAAGTTTGGTACTATTTCCCACGGTTTTGGAGCTGTTGTCTAAAAACATATTTTTGAATAATATTTCTAGTTTTTTTATGTTGACTGCCATATTTTACTATTCATGGTTTATATTCATTTTCACCTTTAGGTAACGCAGCACCTCGAGTACAAATGACAGTGAACAAAGGGTGACTGAGGACAGGGGCTAATAGCGCCACATTGTGTGGTAATGTGCCCGAGGCTGCTGCCTAAGTCACTCGCGCATTTCGCTCTTTTGTTTTTATAGAATAGTTGTGACGTTTGTATTCAAATGTTTGAACAAAACCATAGCATTTCATAAATTGTAATTTTAATTTGGTTACATACTGGTTAAAACAAATCAAAACCTTCATAAATACAAGAAAAGGGCTACTGTAGGTTGTAAAGTATGAAGATAATTTACTTTTGAATAATATTTCATGGTTTTCTCATTTAATAATTTAAGTTGACATGTCATGTTGACTTATCCTTTTGCACTGATTTTCGTCTCTATTTCTTCAGGCCAGACCAGTTAATTAGTAGCAAACATCATTTGCATTTTTTAGATAATATTTTTATTTTAACGTAGTTCCTTTGGATATTATAGCTTATTTGTTTGTGCCAACTTTCAAAATCATCAAATTAAAAAAGAAAATTAACATCAATTTCTTGTAACCCTTAAATGTGACCTAATAGTCAATGTCAGTCACGATTCGCCCAACCAAAATTGGTTGAAAAATGTATACGAAATGTTTTTTGCTCAGCGTAACTTTGACGCAGGTAGAGAGACCTAATGGCCTTATGACGTCATAAGTCAAAGCGCCATTGAGCTAATGACAAGCTATTGTCCTGCATAATGGAGCCTCGTGTCACTTAGGTACAATGGTTAAGTTGATAATTATTAACTGTTTAAATATAAACACATTTTACAGGATCAGTGTACTGTATTAGCTAACGGCTATTGGAAGGATGACTTAGTCATTTTTGTCCTTGGAGTTCTAAACCCTTTTAAACTCATCGATCTAAAATTGTGTCTAAACACTACAATAAAGTGTTTTTGTATACAAACGAAATACAACCACAATAATTTTGCATTGTTAAAAGAATAGAAAAAGAAATAGCTCTTTCTAAAAGCTTATTTATCCCTTACAAATTATCTTTTCCATCTGAACAAGGACTAGTTAAAGAGGTAAGTAAAAAAAAAACAAACAAACAATGAACTGTACTCTATTTAAGAGTCTTGTTATTCAAAAGAATAGCTGATTCGAAATCAGTGTACAAACAAAAATAAACAAAATTTCATAAGTAAACCATGGTGGCCATTTGGAACGTGATGCAAATATAAATAAAAGCCCCTCTCACTCGGGTTTATGGCAGTTTTACGACCCTGACGTTTGAAGAAACGGCTGGAAACTTGAGAAATCGTAAATATTTTAATGTAGTCCCCACAGACAATAGATGTCGGTTCAAGAAGCCTTGAGCTCTTTGTTCATTTCAAGAATCCAACCCGTCAAATAAAGTATTTCACTTTTATATATTGGAATATCTTTGTTGGCGAATATGTTTTTCCTAGAATATGGTGACGGTTTAATACTTTTATTTGTAAATTGAGTGTAGCTAGCTAAAATAATTTTAGGCATACAATTTTTTTCCCTTGATTATTTTTCCTTTTCTTTGTACCTATATTTGCCCTTATTCATATGTGAAAGAACCTAAACAAGACAAGATTAATACGTAACGCTCAAATGCATAATGCATACGGTGAAAGGACATTGTACTAACAGCATATTTTGTTGTAGGTGAGTACTTTGGCAATTTAAGCAGATATGTAGGTAAGTACATAAATCGTTTTATGTAAGCAAACAATCGATAGTTACATATATTAACTACTACTAAACTACTAAACTACTAAACGTACTAGACGTACTAGACTACTAAACGTAATATATACGACAACAAGAAATTTGAAAAAATCGCATTCCTATCGGTAATGTGTCCAATAAAAACGTATCGTGTCTTAAAAAGCTATTTTTAAGTAATCAAATGATGTGCGTAAAATCCACCAACAGCAGAGTACCCGTCCTTCGAATGGGGCTGGCGTATAAGTATAAAATGCTTTTTGCAGTAATACTCGTGCTTTGCGTTTGCAATGTTAGAAGACATGGTTTGAGAAAATTCTTGGTTCTTTTAATTTACGGTATACTTTAAAGTAAAGCACATAATTACCGTAGCCAACCACCACATTTAAACAATTAAAAAAGTAAAGTTCTCACAACTTTTTGTTGAGCTTGGTTCAAATTAGCTGTTGTCATAAATGCAAAAATAATTAATAGTGCTACACCCGGCACTAGTTGGCATACCTTATAACTTATAACATTTTAAAGCTATTTGATATCATAGAACCAACTACAAAATTCCTTTATTATAACTAATTTAATTCCTTTTAAATACGAATACTCATAAGGTTAACATGGGGGCTATAGAGCCGCTGGGGCAGAGTCCGAAAGGATTTTTGATAATCGGGAATGTGAGCTATCATCATACCAAATTTATCCCCAATCCGACCAATAGTTAATGCGTGATTGAACTTCAAACAAACAAACAAGCAAATACACAATCTTTCACATTTATAATATTAGTATGATTAGTTCCTCATTTATTAATGTTGATGGTACTTCAAGGTAGTACCATATTTTTACTTTACTATTAATTCTAACAACTATATTTAACAATATTACGATAAGTAATCTTTGTTTCAAACCCTATTGTAAGGGCGTCACGACTTATTTGACGCACGATGTCTAGCAACAGACAGTTTGTTTTTTTTCTATTGGTGAATTAGTTCTTGGTGGCATCATAACCACGACAGCATACCACCAACGAGCATAATATAATGTGCTCGTATGAATGTGTGTCTATTATGTGCTCGTTGCTCGTTGCATACCACTGCTACATAATTGACCACGTGATTGGTGTGATTTAGATCGGGTACTATGATACATAAATCCCTAATTTTTGGCCACCAGAAAATCCGTGTCCCTTGAATATTATTTACACCATGAACTAGTAAATCTGTGCAGTAGTATAGAGACAATGCAGAACCGTTGTGATATAATTAACATTAGAAAGCCAGTATCAACTGCAAAGATAGTGCATGCTGTCCGACCAGAGAATTTCAAAGAGAACAAAGTTAGTTAAGAACAATTTTAAAAGTTTCAAAACATTCAAGACAAAGTTTTCCCAAAATAACTTAAAACAGTTTGAGTAGCCTACGCACAACAGGGGGTTAGAGGGGTGGCCACCAGTTGATTATCGGCCTCTCGCGCACACGCGCACACAGACACACACTCACGAGCACGAGCGCGCGCCAGTCGCAAACGTGCCCTCGTCTGTATATACCGGTGGCTCATTTGTGTTCGCGATTTTTGTTTGTTTTAGTTCGGCTACGTTTGTTGTTGGTGTTGTTCTGTTGTTCCCGCTGTAGTGTTGTTGTTTGTTGTTCGTGTCACGTGTCGATCGTGTCATGTTCCTGTCTGGTAAGGCGTTTGAAACGCTGGGTGAATTACGTAATTTGATATTGTAAATTTATTTGTATAGGTTAATAATTTTAGATTTACTAAACATGTAAAAATTGAGTGAGAGTTAATGTATGCTAGCTTGTATTTTACATAATGTACAATATTGAAGTAAACATGTAAATTGGTGATTGTATTTCGTCTAGTATTAAGTTGTAAACGGTTTCCAATGAATAGTATGCATTCCGATAAGAAGGGAAAACTACCTGTTGCTTTAGCTCCACCCTAACGCGGGGACCACTGAGCAGCTATCATTGTTTTGAGTTTTCTTTCTAAACTGTGAGAAGGCCTTTTAACTTAAAACTAATATTTTATAAATTAGATTTTGCATATATTCAAAGGATGATTCTTAGATTTCAAAGATTTTAAGAAGTTTCTATTTTACATGTTGTTAAGAAATTAAAATCGTACGCATCTTCTAAGCCATTTGGTTAGGAAATACTTAGATCGGTGGTAAAAATAAGTTCTACACTTCATAAATGATAGTCTATAGACCACGTTGCTTTAAACAAGATGATAAATATGCATACGTACTTTTACTGAAACCTCTTTTAAGATTATATCATTTAACTAATAATTTCTGTATGGTAGAATTTTTTTAACGCAACGCACATTTGAAAAGGACTTTTTTTATTAAGTAGGTCAGACAAAAACCTATGAATAACATGCAATTTTCACTTCACAACAGTTGATATACGCTTAATCAATCTGTACAATATAAAATCTGTATGTACACTGATGTTACTTTTTTATTAACTTATATTTAGATACCATTTCCAACTGTAAGTTTATGGTACATAAAATAATGTCGATAATGACCCAGTTAAATTCCTCTTAAGTTTCTACATTACAATCTACATCAGTAACAAGAGATGAATCAATATGCATTCTAAATTAACTGAAATAGCTCTTTACAATTAGTATGCACTTGTTCATGGAGTTCAATAACGGCAATAGCATAGAGTTGTAGTGATCGTGGCAACACATATTATTTACTGCTCTTGTTTTAATAGATTTGTCGGAAAGGTTGTAATACAACTGAGAATAAATTGTACTTCTTATATAGATTTGTAAGACAATTTTGCAAGTTAATAATCAAATGCATGCAAATTAATAGTCAGGTAATACACGTGTTATGTTATTGATTTCCAAACAATTGTAATTGCCTATGCCTAGTTCCACTCGCAGCGGTAGCTGAGCGAATACCAATATGAAAGTTGACTCCCGAACAATATTGCATCTCCAACAAATTCCGTACTCAGTTCTGAACATAACGGTGGTGAATGATAAATAGTTCTCACAACGAATTATCAATGTGGATATGTGAATATTAAAATTACTTTGGTTTGAAAACACGTCCATATTTCATTCGCTTTAAAAATTCTTTTTATTTTGTAAATTTAATTTTAGGTACACTGCTCCAATTTTAGGTACATTTACCATTTAAAAATTATGGACATTTTATATCTAGCATAAATCAGTGTATGTCACAATATTTGTCGAGCAATCGTAAGACTTTAAGTTTTAATATAAGATAAAGTAAGAAATCATGATTGATGCTATTGACAAGAAAAATTTAAGGATCATAAAGAATTAACAGTTGTTAAAATATAGTAATAAGGGTTTTTATTATAAACAGCAGTAACCATCGTGGGACGTTGTCAAAGTTTTGGCATTACAGTAGAATGTGTTTAAAATTAAAATTTGAAAAAGGTACACAGTGTAATTGTATTAGTTTCATATTTGATTAGTCGCAGAATAAAATAGTAATTTACCACAATTATTGATACTTACAGTATAATACTTTGTTGAAATTTTACCTTAAAATACGCCATAATCTGTGCATCCTTTCAAATACATTAAGTTATTTAATCTACATGCAATACGTATAGCAAAAGCCGATTAATATTACTGGTGTCAGAACTTTTTTATTTGTTTTTAGCTGCTTATGAAGAATATTAGTACAATTAATTAGAAACTGTGGAATTTATTTGGAACATTTTTATATTATTAAGCATTATCCCATTTTAAGCAAAATAAGGAAAAGTAATGAGCACTACCAAGTGTATATAGTCAAAGATAAAATAAAAACATTGATTAACTTGGAATTGCAGATAATCTTATACGTGAAATTCTTTTTCAACTACATCCGAATATGAACAGAGGTATTTTTAGGATCTCTACCACCATAAAATTAAACAGATGAACTAAACATCCTTCTTGGTCTCACCAGGTCGTAGATTTTAATTTTAAGACCCTTTTTCCCCTATAGGTTTGTGATATCGAAGATATTTGATCGTTTAATAACTTTATAGCTTTCTCGGGTGTCAAAGAAATGCCATATCAAAAAAATCCATATACGTTTGAACTTCTTATATTTCCAAAAGCAATACATCTTTCACCGTATAACTCACCAATAACTATTTTCAGTGCAATTTCCATTGTTCAATTCAAGATTTAGGTCCTTCTAAAGCGTGTCCGAAGTTTGTATCATATATAACTGCGCATGCCATACGTAGCTTTCTCAGTTAACAAGGCTATTTAATTCAAAGTCAAACGTCTTGATACCGTTGAGTTCATTTTTGAAAAAGTACTACATTTCCTCAAGATCGACCTTCTATTTAACAATACCAAGAAAACATTTTATAAGAAAGTTGTCACCAACTAATGCAACGAAGAATTACAGTGTAAACGTGCGAGAGAGCAGTATTTTAACATGTATTGACATGAGCGGGCGGCCAGGCCAATACAGTCTAAGCCTGAAGCCCCACAGAGGCTCGTAACTGTTAGCTAGTAGGTCACTGCAGAAGCTGTCACTGCCACGATTCTACTGATGAGCGTGTAGTACTCGTTGTAACATGATACGACTTGTTAATTAAATTGTGAAATCCCTCATTGAACTAGTTGTACAGTCAAATGATTCTACGCAGTTGTACTTTAGCACTCATCGTTGGATTTAAATCCAGTTGCATCGTCCCTCCAGAGTTAAGGGCGTTTTTAGAACAGATAACGTACTCATGAAAACAAAAGAGCGATTTACTGCAACAGCTACCGTCAGTGGTAAAAAATTATAGTTTTTAGAACAGATAACGTACTCATGAAAACAAAAGAGCGATTTACTGCAACAGCTACCGTCAGTGGTAAAAAACTATAGTTTTTAGAACAGATAACGTACTCATGAAAACAAAAGAGCGATATACTGCAACAGCTACCGTCAGTGGTAAAAAACTATAGTTTTTAGAACAGATAACGTACTCATGAAAACAAAAGAGCGATTTACTGCAACAGCTACCGTCAGTGGTAAAAAACTATAGTTTTTAAAACAGATAACGTACTCATGAAAATAAAAGAGCGATTTACTGCAACAGCTACCGTCAGTGGTAAAAAACTATAGTTTTTAGAACAGATAACGTACTCATGAAAACAAAAGAGCGATTTACTGCAACAGCTACCGTCAGTGGTAAAAAACTATAGTTTTTAAAACAGATAACGTACTCATGAAAATAAAAGAGCGATTTACTGCAACAGCTACCGTCAGTGGTAAAAAACTATTGTTTATTTTTCCATCTATGTCCTAAGCCATAATAATATGACTTCGCACCACTGTTGTACGACGGCTACGGCAAATGACCCAGAGGCTATTCCGTCATAATGTTTAGGTGTACCATTATTTTTGCATCTTGAGCATACTTAGTATGATTACCATGAATTAGTACTCGAGTTTAACGTTTAATTATAGATTAGCAGTTACTATAAATACCAGCAATGGGTCGCGGCTGTTCTAAAGGTCAAAGAAGGACTCTACCCAGCCTGTTCTGGAGGCTCGGTTTAAAATACTGACGGTACCTGATGGAAAAAATCGTATTTTAAGACAAGAAAAATTATTGTTGTGTATTGTTGAATACCGAAGGCGTGGCGTTGAGTTACATTACATTACAGGTTTGTTTGTTTTTTATTCAACCGGAATTTAAAGCAGTTTACAAAGCTGTGTTTCGAAGATAACCATAAAGATGGCTTATAATGATATTGAGATATCGAATTACTTAAGGATTTTTTAGCGAATTTCCCCATTGGGAAGTAGCTATTATGGTAGGTGGCACGGTAAGACCTAGGCCCGGGACCGATTTACTTTGAATGAGTTCGCGAACCAGCATGATCGGACCATGGGAACCGGGTTTTACGGGGGTTTTATGGGGCTACAAAACCAATTTTCACCACATATAACGAAAACATACACACCATTCTCGACCAAAACCATCGAATCCCCTGATTGGCCGCAAACATCTGTTTACGTGTAAACAGATCGTAGAGAGATTTACGAAAAATTGCGTAAAACAATAACTATGTCACAAAGAATATATTACTGTGTATCACATTATGTAGAGGAACGACAGCTTGTGTTTAGAGGGAAGCGATCCTCGCGGCTTTGCCTTTGCATTTGGTTGACAGTTTATCGACGCTGGAGTAGAGCATCGTCCATATTTTATTCATGGGATTATATTTACATGAGAATGACGGCCGTGTTCTGTTTTACGGACCAACCGCAGCTGTTTTGAGTAAATGGTCACCTCTGCAAGTTTTCATTTCGGTTTCCACGGAAAAAGGCCAACTGTTTAAACATTTCCTAGGAAAGATAATCTTTGTTTGAGTTGTCCAATTTTACTCATTTTTAAGTATTTAAAATCAAAACACTTATACTACGTTGTGTCTAGTTAATAAGCTATTTTATTAAAATATCTAATATGCAAATCATACTCAAACAGCGTGTGTAACTTACTTCTACGAATTTTTTTTTAATGATTAAGCCTACAACGTTTAAAGTTCATTCAGAGGGGTTTCTTTAGCTATGGGTAAGCAATGGTCAAACGATAATTAGTCCTTACGCATTTTCAGCCGAAGTATGGCTAAGAAAAAGATAAGGAGGATTTTGGATTATATTATGGAAAATATTTTCCAGTTTAAAAGTAGTAGAGTACAAATCAGTTTTTATT